CTCAATTCAACTTTGCAATACATTTAATTTCCAAAATCACCTTAACTTCAACATACGCTATAATTTACAACGAACGATTCACGCACTTTTATTACTACCGCGCTTGACTCAATTGTCCGTCTATATCTTCTATCTCTCTGTCTGCTATACAATCCCGATTAATTGTCTGGCGCACTTATATACAAGAATAGAGGGCGTCTAGCAAATACTGGATTATTCCGTGATGTTCCCCGATCTTTCTAAAACTCATTACGTGTTACTAGAGTCACGTGACTTCTGCTGTCGTAACAGTATTATTATAACATATGGTTGAGAAACCTGTTAAGCGGAGAGAGTTTTAAGCTATCCATTTTGTTCTCAAACTTGATAGAACCTGTTACTGCCTGGGGAGGATGTTTGTTAATACACGTTATGCAAGGACTTCGACAACAAGGTCCTTCAAGTTCAACGGTTTAGATGACATTCAGAGGTCGTGATACAAAATATATTGTAATGAGAATGATAAGTCACATGAGCAGCGCTAATCGCTCTGGGTAAGTGCGACGTCTCTTGGAAACTAAAGAACGTTGGATTTTGTCAGTCTGGTACATGGATAATGCTTGAACAGTTGAATACAGAGGGTCCAGTAAAAAGCGATCGTCCCGTGCAAGTAACACTAACAGCCAGTATACACACACACACACACACACACACACCGTGTTTGTGTTTTGACCATCCTAACAAAATCTTTATTTTGAATTTCACTTTGTGTGTCCAGTCTCGTCACTTCGTTTTGCATTGATAAACCACACCTGTACAATTAACAGAACAAACTCGTACAAGAATATCAAAGAAAACTAAATGGTTATTGTTCAGACCTTTTTATTTTCTCGTAATGTCCGAAATACTCATGAATATCACCTGTCCGTAACTAACATTCCAAAGTACCTCTCCCCATTAGATTTAGCGAATTCGTTATTCCTCAGCCACGTACTATTGGGCAAACCGATAGCTGGATCTAATGTTAGTTTATTTTAAAGGGCATTTTAGTAAAAACATGGTTATAATAGTATATTTTATCGGTAGTTATGAAACTGTTTGTGCAGACAAGACTGTATGGTTAAAGAGATCGATCAGATGAGAAATATTTGTCAGTAACACGAATAAAAAAAAAGCGCATTACATTCATGAACATGTCTTAGAGTTAAATTTAAAGAGTCACTCGCGTATCCGACAACCTACGAACACTCGTAGCCCGCATGCAGTAGTTGCACGTTGTAAAAATAGGTTTTACGAACTACAGGATTGCACGATATTGGAGAATATTCTATACTATTTCTTTCGTTTGCCGTCAGAGTTCGAAATTATTCAATGGCAATAATAAAGACAAGGGTAAAAAAAAAAGTCCTATATTTTAGGAGTGGTATAAAATGACAATTCCGAAATAAGCATTTTAAAGTTTTTTTTTAAATATATTTTTTTTTATTATCACATACATGCATAAACTGTTTTGAATTAAGAGTCCGTAGCTATGCTACAAGTGCTTGGTTTAGCTCTTGATGTTATCGATAAGAGTTTTCCAAAATACTTTTGACGTTTTTTTCGCCATTTGTGTACTTTCCTTTGTCTTTTTTTTATCGATTTTTTACACAGATTCGAAATTATTTACTGTGGTAAGTTTTCCGAATCTGCGTTTAAAACTTTTGCGCTAGACATCAAAACAACCCGAATATTATTACTACAGTTTCAAGTAGAATTTACCTCCTAAACTAACACTAGCGATATGTCAGTTTACTTTAAAATATGCGCTAACATCCAATTGTCGGTCCGTTTCGAAACATATTACTTCCAAGTTCTCGGCCTACAGAATCCACAAGTTAACTTTATATTGATGTCTTCTCTATTCAGAAAACTTATAATAAAACAAATGCTATTCCTGAACTAAAATGCCGCGAAAAACAATTACAAACAAATCAATACACATAACAAAAGTAAGAAAATTACTTACGTCCACAATCAGCCATCTCCGCTCGAAGTTCTGATAGCTATAGAAATATTCACACCCTAGTCAACAGCTATAACTTATATGCAATATGTGGGCGTGATTGAAGAGTGTAGGGGGTGTTTGAGAGCGTCGTATTACCTTTTATTTATTCACAACACTTCATATGTAATTTTTTTATATCATATATTATTTGGATAAGCCACAATTATAAAACAGAGTTATTAAAAAAATATTTTTAAATGTTTCAGGGAAGCAGTACAGTGAGTTTTTTTCCCGTTTAGGCTACGACACTGCTTTGTTTTATATTCATCTACATCAAAAATACGTTATTTGTTCTCACAATATACACCTACATGCTTAACTAGGGAAGGAACCGTTCCTGCATTTCCGTTCGATTTGGAAAAAGCTTGTAAGATTAATATAAATATACGAATTAATGATCAGAGCAAACGTATGATTGCACCATAGCAAGGAAACGAAAGTCGTAAATCCGACGAACCCTGATTTAAGTCACAAGATCCCTCTCCCCCGAGAATAACTGACGATAATCTGCTGAATCATCTTAGTATGAATTTTCGATGCTCACTCACAGTCTTGCCACCATAGTGATGTCATGTAGATATTATACATCGGCACATGATGCGGTCACTTGACACGGTTATGGTTGGAATGTTCGAAATTACTGTAACGATCTTACGCTCATAGATCTAACATACAAGCATTCTGTCAAAAGACAGAACAATTAAACACATTTTTCATCATCGGCAATAGTGTTAAAAATTTTGTTGAACTATGTTTTACTTTTTTGCTTTATTTTTCATTACTTACTTTATACATTGTATATCATCTCTGGTCTCAGTACTTTTTACGTACTGTGCTATCTGTAGCCATGGAATTAATCGAAGTTTTTTGAACATGACTTCCCCTGTTCTTTACACGTCCCCCCCTTCTTTCGTTTAATAAATGACGAAGAGAATTTACAGATTAATAATTCTTTCCTGTTATTGTAACTTGTTTTTACTAACTAGCAGTAAGTTTGAAAACTTATAGTACTAAAAACCGGGTTTCGATACCCGTGGTTGAAACACCACAGATAATCCATTGTGTAGCTTTGTGCTTAATACAAACAAAAAAACTATTATTATTATTATGACAGGTGTCTTTCGCGTTTTAAACTGTTCATGATTATTATACACATTTAACGTTTATATAACCGACAATGTGCGAGGAAGAAAAGCAAAAAAAAAAAAAAATGGCGCATATGTAGATTGTAAGACACGTGCTTCCGGTGTGTAATTTGGTCACGTTATGTGAGTGAACGTCAACATAATATATATACAAATTCATAACATATACCTTCCCTGTACAGTTTCAAATTTCCACCAAACTAAGATCGTGTTGTTGTTGTTTTTTTGTTAAAAAAAGTAGCAAGAATTGTGAATAACAATTTAGTTTAGTTGTTGCTGATGTTTGTGTTCGGAGTT